CGTATATCAACAGATTTTTTGCTGTCTATACCAAGCACACGTATCATGTAAACGATAAAAAAAATTTTCCCCAATTCTAACCGCTAGTTCGATATTTACGTCATGTATAACTGCAATTACCCATGACCCGGAAGAGGCCCTCTTTTGGCTCACTGTGCCCGACCGCAGTACTCAGGTCAAAATAAGCGTATACGTCCGACAATCGCTCGGACGCCGAAACTTCCCTGCCTGATCCTGTCAGTAATAAACAGGCTTTCACCTCAAATCCTTTTTAGATCAGGTCTGAGTGATGAAAGGGATTTTATGGTGGACCTAAACTCACGCTGTTCAGGCACAATCATTTTTTTGTCGGGACTCTTTTAGACCCTACACGTGCGGAGTAATTGCGGTATGAGACCATAATACCCGTATGCGTGCAAATTCTTCTCGGATGCTTGACTGTCAAGTCTGATTATTCCCCAAGTAGATGTGTGATACTGGCTTGTTTTGAGTGCTACCAACTGCATGCCCGTAGCCAGGATTTTGAATGGGGGGTTCTTCCCACTGCTTGAGGGGACCTCGAGCGCCGAAGTTCCTAGGGGGGTCCGGGGGCATGCTCCCTCGTAAAATTTTGCAAAATGAACCTTTTAAAATGGCATTTCGTGCATTTTTGAGAGGATTTCCAAGAACAAATCAGAGATAAATTATTTTTTATTCAATGACAAAGGGATCAGTTTTTCTACGATTCCAGTCCATCTTTTCAAGAAAAATCTTGGACCTTTACATAAAAAGTGGACCAAAAAGTGGACCTTTGAGCCTTGTGGGGGGGTTCTTCCGAACACCCCCTGGCTACGGGCATCTGACTCATCTGACCAAAATTCAACATCACTTCATTTATGTTTTCTTGCAAAGTATTATAACTTCCATGTTCAACCACAGCCTGTCGACCAAGAAGGTCAAGCAAGAAGGTTTAAATTTCCTTGCTTGGTTGGAGCAAGGAGCTTAGCGGGAGCATTAGGACATTACAAACTCCCCGCCAAGGACTGCCTACATGTAAAAGTCCTTGAGTTCTAAAAATGGTCCGAACAACATCCACGAGTGTTTACGTGACATACTAAAGAAAGGCTACGATTTCTAAAGCACCTTTGTGTAAAATTGCATTTGTTAAGGGTCAACTTGGGGCTAACGAGCACAACATTAAAACACTTTACAAGGGTTTTGAGATGGATGGAAGCCCCTAATGAGACCACCTCAGTGGAAATGATGATTGACCCAGTCCAGGTCATCAGACAAGGATATACGATCATGATAAAGAGGCAAATCAGGTGTAATCAGTTATAAGGCCACACCAATTTAATTTCTTGGTTAACAGATTTTTCTAGAAAAATTATGGAGCGGGCGGGCAACAAAAAAAATAAATTTAAATAAAAACAGGCCTACGCATCCTATTGTGGCCCAAAATGGTACGATAGGAGCCATGAAGTCAACACATCAGGCTGGTTCAAAATTTAAACAATGAATTTTGAACTTTTGATGATACCACTGCATTGAAAGATGGAATAACTGTAACAACTAGGAAGAAAAGGACTGTTTTCAACTGTTCAGGGCAAAATTTTTTGGCAAATCAGAAAAAAAAACGAAGCGGGCGAATCCATTAATTAAAACAAGAAATTAAATTGGTGTGGCCTAAGTTCATTCAAAATCTCTAATTTGTTTTCTCTCTTGATTTATAAAGCCCCTCGAGTAACAAAATGGGGGGGGCAGATTGCTCTCCGATGCATTTACACTGTCATCTTTTACTGTGCAAATCTTAAACCTTCTTTTTTCTCTTTTACAGCAGGTGAATTTACATAACACTGTGCACATTCTGATTCAAATTGTAATCCTTAGTCTGAGGGGGGGCAGGGATCTCAGTGTTAAATCTAAGGACTGCTTTTTTTTTCTTCAGAATCTGTAATATATTGATTAGGAGATTCAAATTCAAGAATAAGATGAAGACTATGAATAATAATAATAATTATATCAGAACCATAAAGGCAAACATTATCAATCAAGTTCCACAGGTCATACACACATAGAAGAACATTGGAGAAAGTTTCCATTCCCCCCCCCCTCATTGTTCCTCTCACAGAATGATATTGACAGTCGCATTGCTTTGTTGTTTACCGAGACTGCAGGCATTCAAGGTTGTCAGGTTGCCCCTGGCAACAACATTACAATCACAAAGGCTTAATCAATTCCACTGGGGACATGGATCAGGCTGTGGCCGCCTTTATAACAGCTGCCGCTGCAGACTGGAACCTCACTTCACCCTCCTGTCAAGCTGAGACAAGAACGGAGGCTCCCAGCAAGTACTTACCAGACGAGTACAGTAGACAACTTGAGGTAAGACTTTTCATTTTACCAACTTTAAGGTTTTAGATCCATGGAAAAACTCAGTCATAATTATTACAATTTTTTACCAGGATTTTTAGCAGGCTAAAACTGAACCGACCATAGACAAGTTTAAAGTTAAAACTTTTGACCGAACACAAGCTAGATTTTTAAACAGACGGGTCTTCCAGTAGACCCAGTGAGACTTGTCACATGGATTCTCTGAAGTGTGACGTAAACTTTCTCGATTTTACCCACTGACACTCACAGTCACATTGGTATTGTCACAGAAATCTCTGTATGCATGTTCTTGTTGTCGCGCTGAATGAAATTGCTTAGTGCCGAAGTATCAAAATTCCTTTTTTTGGTGCCGAAGTAAATTTTCCTTTTTTTGAGTGAACATGTACCCCAGGCCTATCCGACCACAATTTGTTTTTAATAGAAAAACATCTCCCAACTTTTTGGACCCAAAAAGACTTTGTATCTTGTTTTCTAAGCTCAGCCAAATGCCAGCTTGATTTAAATGTCAAGGTTTACTCAATTTGAAGAACTGCTTCTAAAATCACTTCCGAAAAAGAAACCGTGCACTTTGATGGGCACCAAACTGTTTGAGTGCACAAATCGCATATCCTTGAGAGGACCAAGGTCTTGCTCAACGGCTTGTTAGAGTAATCATGTGCACCTGGTTTCGAAAAACAAGCCTTGGCCTTGGGGAAGTCCTGCCTGGAGAAACATCTGAAAACTTTGACATTCTGCCAAGAAAGTTTACCGACAAATTAAGTGTCAGGAAGTAGTTAAGATAGGAAACATCCTCACAGCAATTACTTTGGAAAGAAATCTTGTCAACTGTAGGGAAAAAGGGGAGAAACTTTGAGACAGCAAACTGACACAAAACATAACAGATATTCCATTGTGAACAAAGACACCAGTCCTACATTGTATAGGTTCAAGTTACGCTGTTATTCTAAATCTCTCTAAATCTACTTGGGAGTGTGAAGAAATCCTCACTAAGTTGCTAGCAGCTCTTTTAATTAACTTTCTGGTTGAATCATCCTTGAAAAATTACAGTAACTCAGTGTGTATCACTGAGAATTTATTCAACATCTACTAGACATTTCATTGGAGACAACCAATTAGAAAGAGGCTTCAGACAATATGTGTATTGTATGTGTATTGTACCACAATATAAATGTGTATTGTGAAACATACCTAATGGTAATAAGTGGAATGTGTATTGTGGTACACACGTATGAATCACTCTTGGGCTATTTTAGGCTCTTTGTTATCAGTAGAAAGTGAGTATTGACTTAATTTGCATACTGTCAAAGGGTCTTTTTTTTGTTTGTTCACCTTTGACAATGTCATTGATAAGGCCAGCAGTAAGCTTGAATCGCATATGCAGGAAATCTGTTATGCCACACCGACTTAATTTTATGGATGACATCCGTGCGCGCATTCATTTTCAACAGTTAAATAATGGTTCTCAAAGAAAAAAAAAGATCACGTCCTACGAGGCTCTGGCCTGGCTCTAGGCCTAGGTATGTCCATGTACTTAGTAATTAGCGACAGTAGGGAGCTGGTGGTAACTCTGGAGGACGGCACCCAGGCTACCGAAGCTCCACAACTCAAAAACTCACATATAGTAAATACATTATTATAATTACATATACAGTGCCGATTCTGAATCATAAATTCTGCAAAAAGCCAGCTTGTCGTTTATTCGCAAATTCACAATTCCAGCTTTGTATTCGTGTGGTCTAAAAGCATTTTTAATTTTGGCTGGAATTTTTTTTATTCAATCACCGCGTGGCACCACATATCAGTTTTGGGCCTGTTCATACGGTCAATGAATCCAACAACATGCGGCGCAGTGCAAACAATCGTTGTACGGACAATTTTTTTTGTTGCCCCGTGTTAACTTAGCCTGGTGTCCAGCCTTGTTAGCTTTAGTCCGCTACCCAAGATCCGCTCCCCACCATCTTGGGTAGCGGACTAAAGCTAACAAGGCTGGACACCAGGCTAGTGTTAACTGGCCCTTAGACAAAATCATACTGACTACTTATTTGTAGTTATTTTTTATTTTCCCAAAACCCACTAATTTTGGAAAAGGTGGGACATTACGTCTTCCATGGTTTAAAAAAGAGAAGTCAAACCCCTTAGACATAGTTTTAGACATAGCTATAGCTCTAGACAACTACCTTTTATCATGTAGATTTTAGTTATTTTATATTACGTTTCATTGTTCTTTTCTGTTTGTAAGGTCATGTTGATTTGATTATATGGATGACATCAGCGCTCGCATGAATTTTCGGCCGTTTCCAAAAAAAAAAGTTTTCAACCATACTGTAAATCGTACAAAACAGTTGCAAAATGAGAAAAATGTACCATACGTTAACAAAAAAAATTAACAAAAACTATACCAATGTCGTAGAATGCCAAAATCAAACGAAAAAAGACGAAATTGTAAAGAAATGAACTTGAAGACTAGATTATTCGCCAAAACATATTCTGTGCCATTTGCTCAACCCTCATGACCACGTAGATTTCATAATGAAAAGAACTTTTTTTGCAAAACTTTTTTTTTATTCGCACGCGCGCATCAGTTTTGGGTCTCCCGGAGGATGTCATCCATATAATCAAATCAACATGGCCTAATCTGCAATTAGCCCCCGGGCATGAATTTGCAATAAACTTCTTATTTAATACTTCTATCCATTGTCAGGAGCCATGAGTCTGTGTGGTGTGCTAGTACTGCTGGTGCTGGTGGCAGTCCCAGCCCTGGGCCAGTTTCCCCCAGACAACTGGGAGTTTCCCGACAGGAGGATAGAGAATAACGAGGACCTACGCGAGGTGCAGTGCAGGCACACCTGTGAGGACGTCAAGGCCCTGAAGAGGAGGATGAGAGAGATGGAGTCACGTGTGCTCGCACTGGAAGATGCCGCACAAGGTACGAGATGAGATGAACTGGTTTATTATTATTATTGTTTACCGAAGGGAAATATATTGTTATGTTTACTGAAGGAAAACATATTGTTTTTGCTCCATTTGAATTTTCTTCTTCCTCTTCTTCTTCTTCTGTTCCAAACACTAACCCCTGACCTGGCCAATGGCCTCTTTGTTGACGTCTGTCACCATAGTAACTGGTGTTGGGTTACATCATGTTGCAATTTCAGAGAAGGCATTTAGGCTCCTGTCACCATAGATATACATGTATGTGAATGTGTTTGAGTAAGAATTAACAGAGCAGACCATATCCGAAGGTAAACATTATGCATTTGCTTTGCAAAACTTTCTAGTTTTTGCTCTGTTTCTCCTTCTGTTCCAAACACTGACCTCTGACCTGGTCAATGACCTGAAGCAGACTGTCTCTCACACCATGGCAACTTGTGTTGGGTTACATCATGTTGCAATTTTATAGCAGGAGGGATTTACACTTCTGTCACCATAT